TTCAGAAGGCTGATCAGGAGCAGCAGGACCCTCTGGAATACCTTCAGTCTGATGAAGAGGACGACGAGAAGAGGGGGGCCCAGCGCCGGCTGCAGGAGCAGCGGGAGCGCCTGCACGGAGCCCTTGCGCTCATAGAGCTTGCCAACCTGACTGGGGCACCACTCCGACAGTAGCCTGGACACTGACTGTTCCACTGTACAGAATTACTGCCCAGCGTACTTAAAAAGTAGATCCTTGGGCATAAGCTCAGCACCTTATTTGCTTATCATAGGCTGCTATTCTGTAGAAATTTATGAAGAATGTTATTGCCCCAGAATATGGGGTGAGAGAGATGCACTTTTTTTATATGGAAATGGATTTGATGTAAAGTTTAAAATATTTTGTAAATATGGACTGCACAGTACAGGGTAGAAAACTACAGATTGTGGGAAGCTAGATTTTGCAAGTTTAATGCATTCATTGGAAGCAGTTCTCACAGGAAGCACTTTGTGAATAAGACACTTGCATAAAAATCGGAATGGTACAAATAACCAAAGAAGGTTGAAACATTATTTATAAGATCATTTTTAACAATGTATATTGGTATGTTTAACAATACTGTAAACACTGAAGCAAGCAAGAAAGTATAAGATATGTAAGAGATAGTTTTAAATTGCAAAATACTGCGCCCACTAAGTCTAGAGAAATGGAAGGCTGACTATTTTGGAATATGGAAGATGTTCTAAGTAATGGACTTAGAAGAAAATAGATATTTGAAGATCTTGGTAAGATACACAATAGTTCAAAATTTTGAAATTGGAGCAAAATCAGTCTTATTCTATCTTTCTGGGGCTTTACAACTCAGTATAATATTTAAGTTTGAAAAGCACTTGTCATCCCTAGCATGTTAACTTAGGAACTTTTGCACATTTCATATTTCTCATTTGCTGAAATTGAGTGATTAATCTTGCAAAGTCTAGGTAACATAGTGATTGTTAATTTTAAAAGTAACATTAAGGGCCCTGTAATGAGATCTGGCACTTGGATTTTTACTAAAGGGACACCTACAGGGTTGTTTTGTAGTGAAATGTTTTAGATCTTTTGTTAGCAAACACTACATTTTAATTGTACTGCTTGTTTAGAATTATTAGAAAATTGAAGCCTCCATATTTATATTTTCAGTGCATAAAGCCACTTTCTTGCTTTACTTCAGAATAACATGCCAAGCTATTTTATGTTCACTAAATTTAGCTATCAGTTAAACACTGCAGAAAATATTAGCTACTCAAATAAGTAGGCTTCTGAAATAATTTTAACTGCAAGTGTGTTAACTTGTATGGTGGTTTTAAGCCGTTTTTCTAAATAAAGTTATTAAACACCACTTTATGTACTGAAGCATGAACAGGAAAATCAAGAGCTGAGCAGACCACCTCCTTTATATAGGCAAAAACTTCCATCATTTTGGCTTTTGACATGCATAGCATGGTAATTTACAGATTGCTTAATTGGAGTAAAACTCAGAGTAGTAGAGGGAAATATGGGCTCTTCAGAGCCTTTTAGCTTTTTTGAGTTGAAAGTTCCTACAGATATAGTTTAAACATTAGAAAGTAGGCTTCTTCATCCAAAAATCCCAGTGTGTCACAGTACACAGATAGTTTAAAATATGTAGCCTTGGGGAAGGGGAGGCATGTAAATGTCTTGGAAGAGGAGAAAAAGTATGAAAGAAGATATGATAGTATAAATAATGTGTATGATGAGGACATACTTTAAAAATGTAATTCCTCTGTACAGTAAGTTACAAATCTTTAGGGATTTTTTTTTTTAAATGAGAATTTATATTTGTAATGGTCTAAGAATTTTGTTTGTAATGTGGTATATAGAATTTTAATTTGGAGCACTTATAAGCTGGTTAAGAGAGACTATAGCATCTGAATTGCCTTGGTTTATATTTCAGCATTTCCTCTAGAAGTTTTCTTCTCAAATATGTGATTTAATGAACTAAAAACAACACTCATCAGTCTTCGGAAATTTAAACTGATCAACTTAACTAAAGAAGGGTAGTAAGAAGTTTTCAAATACAAATATTTGCCAACTCACAGATGATAACCTTTAAGGTCTTCAAAAGTAAGGGTTTTCTTTGTTTCTCCAGTCAGCTTTTGTCAGCTAATAGGTTTTTCATAAACATGTTTTATTTGTATAATTACAACACTTTAAGAAATTATTACAACTATTTGCTATAGAAACATTTAAAATGTTCTTTTTTGATATAAGCTATATACTTGGATAAAATTGGTATCTAAAATTTGAGGTGGGTTATGACTGCTTTTTGTTTTAAAAAATGTGGTTTACATTCAAATTTGGAAGTGTTTTATGCTTCATATGGCTAAGATGTAGCTTGGCAGAGTTAACAGCATAAGAATAAACATGCTGTAATTTTAAAAGATGCTTTGAATAAAAATTTATTTTAATTTAAAACTTGAAGTACATGGTAATTCTTAAAGCCTGTATAATTTGTTTTCTTATCAAAAATATAGTAACCATGATATAAAATTTTAAATGATAGCAAGATCACCTACAGTCTTTATGTTCATCAGCATTATTTCAGTACATGTTTGCATAGTTGTAGTTACAGTGTGAATTGTTTTTCTTTATGGCCTTTAGGATTATAGATGTTGCCAGGCGTGGTGGCTCAAGCCTGTAATCCCAGCACTTTGGGAGGCCGAGGCGGGTGGATCACGAGTTTAAGAGATCGAGACCATCCTGGTCAACATGGTGAAACCCCGTCTCTACTAAAAATACAAAAAAAATTAGCTGGGCATGGTGGCACGTGCCTGTAATCCCAGCTACTCAGGAGGCTGAGGCAGGAGAATTGCCTGAACCCAGGAGGTGGAGGTTGCGGTGAGCTGAGATCGTGCCATTGCACTCCAGCCTGGGTAACAAGAGTGAAACTCCATCTCAAAAAAAAAAAAAAAAAAGATTATAGATGTTTAAGTGCCTCATCTGGTTCATCACTACAGTATTAAAAATATACTGCTGCTGTGGATAAGTATTGGATAACTATTGCCACCCCATCCCCAGGCCTTAAATTAGGGTGATAAGGAACTGGAATTTCATTTCACTTATATTTAGGATGGTCACCTCCTCAAGAATGCACTTAAAGCCTGTGTACTTTTCTTTCTTTTTTCATCAGTTATTTCTGGTAGATCTTTAGTTATGTATTTGCAATAGCAAGGGTCAGTCTGTCCTACCCTTGTGCAGCAGAATGTCACAAGCAACTCCTTAGTGTGAGCTGTGGTTTAAACAGTAAGGATGAGATTTTGACTGGTAAGATCCTGGAAGTATGTATATACAAGCAAATTAAATGCAATTATGATGAAGGCCATCATTAAAAGTGACTCTAAAATACTCTTTTTTGCAGTCAAAACATTTGGAGATTCACAAGAACATTGAATGTTCTAAGGAAATTAACCAAAATGACTGTTCAATTTTAATATGAATTCATTTTCTCTTTTAAAGTGGGCTTACATGTCTTTTTTTTTTTTTCTTGTTTTCAGCAACTTGGGTTCTTCTGGTCTTTTCAGGGCTATTTTACATGTTCTCCTTTAGTTCTTATCAGGGCTGAAAATGTTTCCCAGTTTTCATTCTCCTTGTTGTTCAGTGCCTTAGAAAAACAATTCTCTGGGCATCTATGTAGTTAGGCCCCAACTTTTTTTTTTTTTTTTGAGACGGAGTTTCGCTATTGTTCCCCAGGCTAGAGTGCCATGGCACGATCTCGGCTCACCGCAACCTCCCTTCTGGGTTCAAGCAATTCTCCTGCCTCAGCCTCCCGAGTAGCTGGGACTACAGGCGCGCACCACCATGCCCAGCTAGTTTTTGTATTTTTAGTAGAGACGGGGTTTCACCTCATTGACCAGTATGGTCTTGATCTCTTGACCTCGTGATCCACCCGCCTCGGCCTCCCAAAGTGCTGGGATTATAGGCGTGAGCCACCGCGCCCGGCCCCAATTTTTATTTAACTTGGAATATTCAGGTTTTCTAAGAAGCTGTAAGTTTATATTTTTAAAGACGAGAGTAGGCAGTTCTGAGAAGTTCTTCAACTGACCTGGCGCAAAGGCAAAGGGCCCTCCGTGAGGAGTCGACCTCCCACAAAGCACCCAGCGGACACCCAAGTCCCAAGGCTTCACCCACCTTACTCCCAGCCCCCCCCCACTCCTAGATACTTATTGAAGAGAAATGAAAACACAGGTCCCACAAACGATCACAAATTTTCCTGGGAGCATTTTTCCTAATGGTCCTAAGCTGGAAACAACCAACCAATGGATACACAATTTGTGATACTGCTCAACAATGAAACAAACCACATGGGCGAATCTAACACATGGAGTGAAAAACCCTGAGAGCACATGCTCATTCATAATTCTAGAAAGTGCCCTGTTTATTTGAAATTGCGGAAAAGGCAAACCTAACTGACAGCAATAGCGATGAGATTCGGGCGTTAACTCCAAAGGAGCAGCAAAGAGAACTTCGAGAAGTTACTCGGGTGGATGCCCTTGCCGAGGCTCATCTCAAACTGTGGACTGGCAAGATGTGTACATTTCATTGTACGTAAATGAAATGCTCAACAAAAAAGCTGTAGGAAAAAAAAAAAGCAGAACAAGCCCTGAGATTTGAGCAAGCGTTTCTCCCCAGGAAAGTCTGGAAGAAGGCAGCGCTTTTCGACTCCCCAACGCGTTTCTGGCCCTGGAGACCGAAGGAGGTGCCTGGAGCCAGGGTGAAGTCCAGCGCGCAGGGGCCTCCCACACCGGCTTCGGGGTGCTCTCAGGAGGCGGGCCGGGACCTGGGGTTGCGCCGGGCTCTTCCTCTTCCTGCCGCGCCCTCTTCCCCGGCCCGGCCGGAGGGACCAGTGTGTGGCTGAGGCTGGCGGGCGGTGGGGTCCGCTCCGCAGCGGGAGATGACTGCCGGCGGCCAGGCCGAGGCCGAGGACGCGGGCGCGGATTCCGGCGCGGCGCGGCTGCCCTCGCGGGTGGCCAGGCTGCTGTCGGCGCTCTTCTACGGGACCTGCTCCTTCCTCATTGTGCTGGTCAACAAGGCGCTGCTGACCACCTACGGGTGAGGCGGGTCGGGGCTGGGGGATCTGCGGGAGCGCGGGGCTGACCCTGCCCTCCTTGCGCTTCGGGCTAGGGCGAGTGGGATCAGGGACCCTGCAGTCCCAGCTGGACACATTGGCCGAGTTTCCCAGGCGCCCTCCTGAACTCGGGCAGATTTCTACACTCAGGCCACAACCTGAGAAAGTCGATCTCTTCCTGAGCGCGCCTACTCTGCTGCGAGGCGCCCCGTCCCGGGCGAGCTGGTGGAGCGCAGACAGATGATTTTACACACCCAGCGAGCTGAAAACGGGTTCAAATGTCTGCCTCACAGATCTCGATGTTCAACGGTCAGGTATTCCCGTGCCAGTAAGTCTATTTGTACTGATTGACTATTCGTTCTGAAATGACCAGCATGTTCACGGAAAACTCGGAAAAACAATCGGAAGTTCCTATGAAGTACTTTTTTGGGTTAGTGTGAAGTAAACCAGCAAACTTGTGATTGCCTTGAACCTATTTGTAAGGACTAGAAAATCCTGCTTAATTCTGCTGGCATTGTAGCGGCACTGACAAAATTGTGGATTTAGCCTCAGCTCTGCCGGCTAAACAGCTGTCTCTTTGGACCAGTCGCACCGTCAGCAATTTTTTTCGGATGCAAAAACTGAATGATTACAATCGTGTTAATTACCTTCCAGGGCTCTGCATGAGCTGTTATACATGAAGGCTCTTTGTAAACTCTATTGTGTTGCAAGAATGTACCATCAATATTTTAGAGCCCAAAGAGACCTAGAGAGTATCTTTGCTAGAGAGTATCTTAGACTATCAGCTTTCTTATTTATATATATGTGTCCCGATTGAGCTTATGTGGGTCTCAGTTTTCTAGAATATAAACTAAGAATGCTGAGGCTGGATGAGGTGGTTTGCAACTGTAATCATAGCACGTTGAGAGGCCAAGGAAAGCATATGGCGTGTGTGTGTGTGTGTGTGTGTGTGTGTGTGTGTGTATTTTTTGAAACAGGATTTCGCTCTGTTGCCCAGGCTGGAGCGTAGTGACACAATCATTGCTCACTGCAACCCCAGCCATCCGGGTTCAAGCAGTCATTCTGCCTCAGCCTCCAGAGAAACTGGGACCATAGGTGTGCACCACTATACCGGCAATTTTTTTTTTATGTTTTGTAGAGGTGAGGTCTCAGTGTATTTCCCAGGCTGGTCTTAAACTCCTGTCCTCCAAACCTGCCTTGGTCTCCCAGAGTGCTGTGATTATAAGTGCAAACTATCTCATCCAATCTCACATTCTTTATTTTATATTTGAGAAAACAGACCCACATAAGCTGGATTGGTTGCACCTCCAACAGATATTTACTGAGCACCTACTAAGTGTTGAACCCATTGCAAACACCACAGAATCCTCTGTGAACGGCACAGAGCCCCTGCTCTAGAGATTCTGCTTCAGTGGTAGAGACAGGAAATAAACAAGTAGCTTCATGAATAAACAAGACACTTTCAGATCTGACATGAGAGGGCCTGGGCTGGAGTAGCTGTCAACAGAGCACTCCAGGCAGAAGTGTGCAATGTGCCGAAGTGGGCATGAGCTTGGCTGCTGGAGGAACAGAGAGAAAGTCACTGTGGCTGGGCAGGGAGGTAAGCAGGGAAGGTGGGAGTCAGTGCTTTCTCTCCTTCAGTAGCATTTGCTAAGCCCTGTGATGTGCCAGCACTGTTTGGGGAGAACAGTATTTTCCCACTGTGCTTGGGAAAGAAGTGCAGAGAGCAGATCAGAATCCCTGACCTCTTGGAGCTACATCCTTGTGGACCAATAAATGAGCCAGTGATATTTACATTATGTCAGATGTGGCCAAGGTGCTGGGGAAAAAATAAAACAGGAGAGCGAGTGAGGGAGAGAGGGAGGGGAGAGAGTATGCCGTGTGAGTGTGATCAGTGGAGCCTTAGGAGGAGATGGCATTGGAGCCAAGACTGGAGTAAGGTGGGGACATAAGCCGCACTGGAGGATGGGGGAAGAGCATTCCAGGCCTGGAGGAGTGAAGGGTTTGAATGGGAATGGTACCAGATGGGGTCTGAGAGTAATGGATTGCTGGCCTGTGTGGGGCCTTGAAGGCCACTGTGAGGGCTCTGACATCAGCTCTGAGTGAGGTGGCAGCCACGCAAAGTGTTGGACAGGGGAATTACATTACCTAAATCACTCTGGCTGCTGTGCTGGGGGCAGGTATCTGGGACCAGGGTGGAAGGATGGGACTGGATAGTTTTAGTCTCATGCTAAATGCAACTGGAAGTCCCTTAGAAGGTTACGACATGGGAGTGACCTGACACAATTTGTCTGATTAAAAAGATCTCAGGGCCGGGCACGGTGGCTCACACCTGTAATCCCAGCACTTTGGGAGGCCAAGGCGGGTGGATCACGAGGTCAAGAGATCGAGACGATACTGGTCAACATGGTGGAACCCCGTCTCTACTAAAAATACAAAAAATTAGCCGGGCACGGTGGCGCGTGCCTGTAATCCCAGCTACTCAGGAGGCTGAGGCAGGAGAATTGCCTGAACCCAGGAGGCGGAGGTTGCAGTGAGCCGAGATCGAGTCATTGTACTCCAGCCTAGGTAACAAGAGCGAAACTCTGTCTCAAAAAATAAAATAAAATAAAAAGATCTCTCTTTGGGGGGAAATAGGGGAGGGACAGTGGGAGGTGGGGAGTTGGGGAGAGATAGCATGGGGAGAAATGCCAGATACAGGCGAAGGGGAGGAAGGCAGCAAATCACACTGCCATGTGTGTACCTATGCAACAATCTTGCATGTTCTTCACATGTACCCCAAAACCTAAAATGCAATTAAAAAAAAAGAGATCTCTCTGGCTGATGGGCGGGTAGAGAACTGACCGTACTGGCAGCAGGGAGAGGGGCTGGAGGCCACTGCAGGGTTCCAGGTAAAGACAGTGTGGACTGGGCAACCATAGCAGCAGAGGTAAAAGGAAGGGGTGGATTGGGGGTATTTTTTGGTGATCCTGTGGCTGTCAGTATTCTTGACAAGGTCTCTCCAGTGTGTTGCAGCCTTCTGCCTGGTGTCCATAGAAACACAATCCTGCCTCAAGGAAATGAACATGGACATACTGTACCTAAACCTGGAGCATTTTTCACTGAAGCTTATGAAGGAAAATAAAAACTTAAACAGGATTTAAAAAAAAAAAAAGGCGGGTGTGGTGGTTCACACCTGTAATCCCAGCACTTTGGGAGGCCAAGGGGAATAGCTCACCTGAGGTCAGGAGTTCGAGACCAGTTTGGCCAACATGGTGAAATCCTGTCTCTACTAAAAATACAGAAATTAGCCAGGCGTGGTAGCAGGTGCCTGCAATCCCAGCTACTCGGGAGGCTGAGGCAGGAGAATCGCTTGAACCCGGGAGGTGGAGGTTGCAGTGAGCTGAGATAGCACCATTTTGCTCCAACCTGGGCAACACAGCAAGATTCTGTCTCAAAAAAAAAAAAAAAAGAAAAAGAAAAAAAAAGAGAAAGGAAGAAAGGCTCTAGCCTATCCATCTTTGAATTGTTGAGTTTCATGATTGAAGGAGAAAATGGAATTCTTGCCTTAGGAAGGCCAAACCCCTCATAATCCTTTTAAATAAACATTTAACATTTCTGTAATGTAATATACAGTTGAAGAACCCTTGTTACATAACATTGTTCATTCTTTCCTCTCAGAACGCTTTATGCACACATTATTGATGGGGGAGGGCTGGGGTGATGTGGTTACAACAAGGAACCATAGAAATCGGATCCAAGCATGAGCTGTGTGAGGATAGAATGTTGTGTTGTAGGACAGAAGAAAGGACCTTTTGGTAGTTACCTAATGCACAGGGTTGTGGGAATGTAGCTCAGGGGATGCTTGTTTCTCTTTCATTTTGGGCACATAGTTTCTGGTCTGGATACAAAAAGAATGGGTGATCTTAGTGATTGGTTTGTTTTGTAATTCATTGTAATGCCAGATTTACCTGGTTGGACACAGAGGCCTTTGGAGGCTGTGAACTGTGAGAACCTATTGGGATGAGAGGGGAAAATAAGGGCATTTAAGAATTTGTGGCCAGTTGGTTATGCTTTTGTTTTTTTGTTTTTTTTGAGACAGGGTCTCGCTCTGTCACCCAGACTGGAGTGCAGTGCTGCCATCACAGCTCATCTCAGCCTCTACCTCCTGGGCTTCCCACCTCAGCCTCCAGAGTAGCTGAGACTATAGGAGTGCACCACCACACCTGGCTAATTTTTGTATAGATATGTATTTTTGTAGAGAGGGGTTCTCGCCATGTGGCCCATTCTTGTCTCGAACTCCTGGGCTCAAGCAGTCCATCCGTCTTGGCCTCTTGAAGAGGGTTGGAATTATAGGCATGACCCCCTGCGCCTGGCTTGATTGTGCTCTTGGTCCTTTGGGATCAGGTTCATAAGGGTTGTGTAATTGTTCTGGGTTGTGGAGTTTTTCTCTTCTTTCTTTCGAGATCGAGTCTTATTCTGTCGCCTAGGCTGGAGTGCAATGGCACGATCAAGGCTCACAGAAGCCTCTACCTCCTGGGCTTACGTGATCTTCTCACCTCAGCCTCCTGAGTAGCTAAGACTACAGGTGTGTGCTACCACTCCTGGATAATTTTTTAATAAAAAAATTTTTGTTTTGAATTTTTAATTTTTGTAGAGATGGAGTTTTGCTATATTGCCCAGGTTAGTCTCAAATGCCCGGGCTCAAGTGATCCTCCTGCCGCAGCCTCCCAAAGTGCTAAGTTTACTAGCGTGAGCCGCCACACCCAGCTTGTCTTTTCCTTTTCAATATTGTACTCCTAGTCTACAGCATGGAAGAACTGACTAATGATGCTTAATAAAAATATCTAACTTTGCTGTATTCATTTCAACAAATATTTGCTTAGTATTTGCTATATATGTTTATTATGCATTCCAAGGCTTGATATCTTTTTTTTTTTTTTTTTTGAGACAGGGTCTTACTCTGTCACCCAGGCTTAATTTCAGCTCACTGCAATCTCTGCTG